ATGTATCAATCAATGAAATTCATGATGAAGTATTGAACATCAATAACTGGTAAAAGAGGTAAAAGTTGATAGAATGTTACAGTCATCAACATGATTTGTTCTCGAATTCTGTGTTAATCTTACAGCGTAATATTAGGAACGGAATGACTTATATGCAGCACTTTTGATGTAATATTCAACAACTTTTTTATGTGTATTCGTCAGATGTGGTATGTGGTGAAAAAGAACTGGCATCACTGATAAGTTCAAAATTTGGTGGCTTGCTCAATGCTTCAGTGGCGCCACCATGACAAATGCAAGCTCATTCCCAACTAAAACATTATTTGCGATGAATGTGATTGTGAGTGTTATGTCTGTTTGTCTGTGCTGGTAATTTCCATTCGATTACCAAGGAAAGAATAACCAACGTTTGGTTTATAAAAGTTGATAGTACCTTTTCAATTGTTGATCTACAATATATTGAATTTGTTCCGCTTTTTGCTAAATCGAAATTCTATCCGCTAGACTATATCTATAGCGACTATAGATCTGACGCGTTGTGGCAAATTGACAGCTAAATGTATTGTCGAACCGTCAAATTTACGTCAACGCAACGCAAACGAGTCTAATGTTGGTGGCCTTTTACACTTCCATCTCGATTTTTAAATCAAGATATAAAGCAAAATAATCACTTAACTTTTTAACACAAAACTAAAAAATTGACAGCACGCTCCCTTACAAAGTAACACAGAGAGGCGCTAAGATGGTGAGACTTGCTAATGCAATTACACTTATATAAAACAGTTCCAGTGTTCCAAAATTGAGGAAATATTGGATTTCGGTTCCATTTGGAATGCAGATTACGAAAATGCAATAACTTCAATACCTATAAAGAACTCATTTGTGCAGGGATTATGCTTATTGGGTTCCAAATATAATTTTAAGGGAATTCTTTGAAGAATATTATATTTTGAGTTTACGATTCCCAATGATGTTTTAAAAGAAATATCAAGTAAAGGGTTATACGGTCAAAATTTGGTCAATATCAACTTGACGTTGATTTTGGAATTCACTCTTCAGTTGTCAAAATGCCGTCCAAGCAAGAAGAGCAGCGTATCAAAATTTTGCTAGCGCATCGCGAAAATCCGAGCTACTCACACGCAAAGTTGGCAAAATCGCTAAAAGTTGCCAAATCAACCATTACAAATGTAATTAAAGTGTTTGGGGAACGTTTGTCGACAGCCAGGAAGTCTGGATCGGGGGGAAATCGAAAACCGGAAGCCGCTGAGACGACAAAGAGAGTTGCCGGTAGTTTCAAGCGAAACCCTAACCTCTCTCTCCGAGATGCCGCAAATAAGCTGGGTGTATCGTCTACAACCGTGCATCGAGCCAAAAAACGAGCCGGACTATCGACTTACAAGAAGGTAGTGACTCCAAATCGCGATGATAAACAAAATACGACGGCCAAAGCGCGATCCCGGAGGCTGTACACGACGATGCTGACGAAATTTGACTGCGTGGTAATGGACGACGAAACCTACGTCAAAGCCGACTACAAGCAGCTTCCGGGACAGGAGTTGTATACGGCAAAAGGAAGGGGAAAGGTAGCAGATGTTTTCAAGCACATGAAACTGTCAAAGTTCGCAAAGAAATATCTAGTTTGGCAAGCCATCTGTACCTGTGGCTTCAAAAGCAGCATTTTCATAGCTTCCGGGACTGTCAACCAAGAAATTTACGTGAAAGAGTGTTTGAATAAACGTCTGCTGCCTTTCCTGGAGAAACACGGTTGTTCCGTACTGTTTTGGCCGGATTTGGCATCTTGCCATTACGGTAAAAAGGCCATGGAGTGGTACGCCGCCAACAACGTGCAGGTGGTTCCCAAGGACAAGAACCCTCCCAACACACCAGAGCTCCACCCAATTGAGAAATACTGGGCTATTGTCAAGCGGAACCTAAAGAAGACCAAAAAACTGCTAAGGGCGAGCAGCAGTTCAAGACAAACTGGCTTTCTGCGGCGAAGAAGGTGGACAAGGTGGCTGTACAAAATCTGATGGCAGGGGTCAAGCGTAAGGCCCGGCAATTCGGATTTGGAAAAGCGGAAGCCTAACTGAATATTTTTCCTGAATTTTATACTAATTGAACTTGAAAAAGAAATTTAATTTGATTTTTTAAATAAACGATTTCACCGATTTACACGCGTTTTCCCTTGACCAAATTTTGACCGTATCACCCTTTAGAGTTCTTAACCAAAATTTTTAATAGGCGGAACAGCCAAATGTAAACAATGGCTTTAAATACAAAATTACTTAGAATTAAAACACTCCCACGCAAACTAACAGTGCCATTCTATAAAGGAAGTTTGCTCTATTAGATGATGGTATTAGATTACTTGGATGTGATGTGATGATGTGAAATCCCGAAGATAATACCAAGGGCATTGCTTGAAGCTTTCAGAAAAAAATAGAGGAGAACTACTTCTCAGCAGAATTTCAAAACATTTAAAAGGGCATTGTATGGGCATAATTGGGTTCTTTAATGGTATTGAGGTAAATGCATATTCGTAATCTGCATTACAAATGGAACCCAAACCCAAAATTTCATCAATTTTGGTACACTGAAACTATTTTAAATAAGTACGATTACATTTGCAAAAATCACTTGATTAGCGCCCCTCGGTGTCACTTTGTATGGGAGCGAGCTGTCAGTTGGTCAGTTAAGTGTCAAACAGTGAAGTTATTGTTTTGCTTTAAATCTTGATTTAAAAATCGTGCTCAGAAAACGAAGTTCTTTCAGATGATATAGGGGAAATGTATGTAATGTCGGCCTAAGTGTCCCTAATTTGGGCCCATACATAAATTCAGCAATCGACTAAATTTTCAATATCAACCAAAAATATCCATGAGTACCGCCCCAATGACGCGTTCATCTAGATACAATTGATAAATAGCATATTTTTAGCGATGGGCCCAATCTTAGATCCATAGGCCAACATTAGAGCCATTTTCCCTATATAAACCGATATATTTTAATTAAAGAACCCAATTCTAAGAAGAATTATGAAGGAAGCTTGCTGAAGAAAAATTCGAAGAGAATCTTAGGTTGCAAGCATTTTTCGGAGTATTCTGCAGAAAAGTATGGGACTATTATTGCTCTTTCAGAGATTTATTTCCGTTTTACGGATTTACCTAAGAAGACGAAGATCCACCGCAGCTAGGAAATAAACAAAAATAATTGAAATTTGTCAATGCGGTAAAACTTTGACAGCTGCGTTAGAGCTCTACGGTAGGCATCGGACGGACATTTTTCTAAAGATCTGCAATATAATGAAAATTACAGCGCAATTTTGAGAACACCACCAGGAAATCTTTTAAAGAGTTCTGAGTGAATTATCAAGGTAGTTAAAACCCATAGATTCACGTTGAAGATTTCGGGCGCAGACAAAATGAAAATCCTGGAAAACTGTTTTTTGACAATTCATTTGACACATTTTTGGTCATTTTAGGACTTGATCAGGATGAGATTTGAACTCGCGACCTTTAGCGTGAGAGACATGGATGCAGAGCACTACGCCGGGCACGTCCCCAGGATAAATTCTGCTGTCGTAGTCATGAGCCATTTAACCTCTTCGATTTAAACCGGGAAGGCTTGAAAAATTCCGGGAATAACACGGTAAATTGATATTCAGAATTTGCTGGTCACCATGTATTAGTGCAATTACTTTATTCAAACAAATATTATTTTGTAGGACATCGATTACCAAATCACACAACTTAACTTTTAGTAAAATGGTTGAACTTTATTTTTCGCAAATACCGTGTGGTGTCCGTTCACCGCTCGACCTCGATTCACCACTCATTTCGTCAAAATTGATTGAAAAAGTTCCCAAAATGAGTTCTAAACATGCGTTTAACAGACGTTTAATCACGGTCTAAGGCAAATTTAAAAGAACAAATCAGTTTGCATACACCGGTTGAGCAAATTTAAATAAAAACAGAGGAAAATAGTACATAAATTAACAGAATTCTCGGTTCGTTTCGATTCCCAGGTAATTTCAGGTTCACCCGATTTGAGTGACCACCCCGGAAAAGTGCATCATTAAGGTGCGTTCACGATTTTCGAACAAAATATACATAATCAAACAGTCCAAAGATCGCCTCGGACCAACATTAAATTGCCCATTCGGAATTGCATCCATTCACCGAAATGAAACACGTTCTCGTATTTATAGCGGACATGCATTCTGTTCGTTGCCAAAAACTCGTTCTAATAATAGCACCAAACTACAAACTACGCTTTTACTTTTCACTGTAAAATTTGATTGCTATAATAGCCATCAATGTTATAATGCTATAATAGCTATGATACAATGTTTTGTTGAATAATGTATTGCGCGAATTACCGCATTTGATGTTACATGGTATTATTGTGAATTTTAAACCATTGACCCAGCTCTAAAACTCACATATCTTTGTCGTCTGCATTGTCCAGCACACTCCTTTACTCGCACTACTTAGAGTTTCAACGACCTTATGACAAAGAGGCAGTACGAGAGCACACTCTATAATACGATGTTTATCGCGCCCGTATCACTCCGACACACTTCCCCAGCACGCACGATCTGAGCGGAATTGAGCTTCTGACTTTACTCGGTGTTCATCGATCCTAATCGCGATTGTAACTAATCGCGGATCGCTCTTAGTGCACTCGAAAAGCAACGGAGAACACCTTTCAGTCGAATAGATAGATAGATAGATTAGTACAACACTGCGCCTGGCTGGTTGGTTGACTCAATTCATTACATCGAAGAGGAGAATTAAGCGGAACTTGTTTATAAATAAAAAGAACCTTCACCTTCAGCATCGCCGAGTGGTTAGGAGCGGCTTATTGGCAATCGTGGGACTTGTAATGCGCTTGCCTGTGTCTGAGTGCTGAAGTCGCAAGACAATCGACTAACAAGCTCCCAAAAATTTTGGCTATCTAATATAAATATCACTTAAAACAGTAGAGATAATTACACGTACCTGTGGTTGTAGATAATGGTGAATGTATTCAACGTTTCTGAATAAAAATCTCCGCAGATTCCAAAGAGCCTTAATCGATGGTTCAACTATCCAAAATAAATGTGTCTATTCAGCTGATTAATTTCACTGCTTCTAGACACCACCTTTAGGCGCAAGCATAAAGAAGCAATCCGTAGGCTACCGAAACTGGGTCGCTTTCCGTTTCAGTGGGACAATGTCCAAGCCGAAGTGGTTTGTGGCAGGTAGATAGACAGGATGAGTAGTTGATGGAACTGGTGAGCGATGATAGGCGTGTTGTGTCACTATTGCACTGTAGCTTGAATGTGTGATACGTCGTCCACGACGAGTGCTGCTTGGAAATAGCTACTTCTCCACATTTAAGCGTCGAGACAAGGAAGCATGATTACATAATTGAGACCATTTACAACTATCGACTATCAGCGTTGTTGCGCTCCGGACGCGTATGTGCTGCTATCACTAGCAATCGTTTTCCACCTGTTTGAAACGGGGCCTTGGGATTCATTCCAGACTTCCCCTACAAACGACGGCTCAATCGGTTGCACTCACGGACACGCACTTTCCGGAAGATGGAATTGAAAACCAACAAAATAATAATTTCGAACAGAAACGGACGCTCCAGGAAGGCCTAAAAGAAGTCTATCAGAAAACTTTTCCTCAGATTGATAATCAGCACGTATTGTTCGCTAATTGCCATTGTATGTGGTCCTGCCTTCTTGCACACTGACTAGTATTCCGTCCCGAATCCAAAGCACTGGTGATAATTGCACTGATTTTTCTGTCAGCCAGAAATTCCTAATGGCTGAAGAAGGACATGTTGGTCGTTCGTGAGACAGGAAACATAAACAACACACAACACTTTACGGGACGAACCACTCGGATGCACTTTCGCGAAGAGACTGACTTGATGCGATTTTCGCGGAGCTGCATAAACCTGACGCGTTGTGACTAAAGCCCTACAGTAAAAGTATGGACGACTGTCACCACAAAACTGAAAAAAGCTGTTCCAATCCAATGAGGTACAGAGAGAGGTGGAGCAGATCGTGAAATAGGGTTGTATTAGTAAACCAAAAAATCAACGTAAACGCAAGTAGTGACGTCACTACTTGCGTGTACTTGCGTGTATCGTACAGTGGTTGTGTGAGTGATTGCTTCACCTCGGTAATCCAGCTCATTGGTTCCAATCGAGCAAAGCAGTGCATTTTGACGGTTCGATTGGAACAACTTTTGACAGACGTCCATACTTTTACTGTAGGGCTTTAGTTGTGACAGCTCCCGTTTTCGTGCAGTCGCAGTCGCCGTTGCCGAAGTGGGTTGCAAAAACGATTTTTTTGGAGCTCTGAGGCGGTAGGGTACACGGAGAAAAAATACTACCCAAAATTTAAGTTCTTTTTACTTAATATTCACTTGCACTCGTTATTGTTGTCAAAAAAGGAACAAGAGATTCGACCCAACGATATAGTTCAGCCCAATAAGTTACTTCTGAGTAAAATGTATATTCTCAAATTTACGTGAATTAAACTTAATTTTGGGCAGAATATACTTAACAGTAGGTATTTTTTTTGCTGGTGTTAAATTGAAACTACTATATGCGATTTACTTAAATTTGGGTTATTCTGAGCTGAACCCCGGAATTAAGAAAAAAGTACTTAATTTTGGGTAGTTAATCTCCGTGTACACAGAAAAAAATAACCCTAAATTTAAGTTCTTTTTACTTAATTTTGGGTAATTTTGAGTTTTACTCCCCGCTCCTCGCCCCACTCAAACTTTTTGTTGTTGTCAAAAACGGAACGAGAGATTCGATTTTCTCAAGACTGTCGTTCAATAAGCTACTACGCGGTAAGAAAAAAGTACCTAACGGCCAGTTCAACCTAATTTTGACTACACAGCAAAAAAAATTTAAAAGCTGATGTATGAAATAATGATGTAATAGCAAGAAGCAGATACAATGTTACATCAATGGATGTATCGCAAAATCGATGTACATCGTAGAACGTTATCACAGACAAACAGATGTAACTCTTTGAATAAAATTATCTTCAAAACATAGTACCGCCAAACATAGGACTTCAGTAACGACACCTCGCGGGCTTCTTGCGGAAAACAAGCTTGCTCGCTGATTTACAAACAATGTTGCTGCAAGGAAAACCGAATATAAAGAAATATCAAAGTAATCCTATCCCAGCGCTGTGGCGAGTAGTTCGTGGAAACTATATAACATTCAAACCAATCGTTAAATGCGCAAACGATGATCCAGAATGAAGTGTTACGTCTGTTTGTCTGTGACGATATATTACTCAACCGATGGATTGACCTGGTTGCAGCAGTTTGGATGTAATATTCAACAACTTTTTTTTTCTGTGTAGATTGTCTCCTTTCCTTCATCTAATGTTATCAAAAACGGAGGAGAGCAAAACCACCCAACAGGGGTAGTAAAGTGTGGGAACCCAACCTACATTTGGGTACAACTAACTTACATAGAAAGCGAGTGGAAAATTCCATATGAATTGCACACAAGTAAATGAAAACTACTTTGACCCGCTTTACCTACACACTTAAAATTTTTCGCCGAGATTCCAACAGCCGAGTAGTTCTGCAATTTATTTTGCTGAGATTCAGTAAAACAATTGCCGAGACTCAGCTAACAAATATCATTATGCTGAGATATCAGCTAACAAACAGATGTTTTGCAGATATATCAGCAAAAGTAAATGCCGAGGTAATCGGCTGTTGGAGATTTTACCGAGCTAGATTAAGTGTGTACTATTGGGTTCCTGCACTATTGTGCCGAGATGAGTGAAAAGAACTTACTTTTGGGACTTTTTTCTTATCGTGTAGTGAGTATATCAAGACCAAATTTTCATTATGTCGTAAGTAACATCCGCACCAATCCGAGAAAAATAAAGTTTTGTTTTGATGACCGAAAAGTTATTCCTATTTTCAAGTAAACACATATAATCTCATAGTGATAGCAATGTTTAACATATTTAGCAGGGTTTTAATCATACAAATGCAAATCGCTAGCTTTCATGCTAAAAAATACTGGTTTTTGAGTCAAAAGTGATTATACGTCGTTTGGTGGCCCCTATTGTTACTTAAGTCAAAATGTATTTACCCGGATATTCGGGAGAATTATCAATTACGTCTCCTTCCGTGCAGCCCATTCATCATTTTAGGACCACCGAAATCATCTTAGCAACAAACAGTTCGATTTATTCACTTTAATAATGAGAAAGCGAAACGACGAACGTACACTTTTCACGGGTTTCTCAGCGCTGTTACTTAAGTCAAATGGCATCTCCATAGAAATTGGGTGACTTAAGTAACATCGAAAACTATTTTGATCGGAAGGTGATTACGTCAAAAAGCAATTTGACTGGTAAATAAATTTAAAAATGGGATTTGATCCTATATTCGGACAGTATATAGTGTAATAGCAGGAGAATCGATTGACACTGATAGCTCGACTTTGTTTACCTTTGTTACATTCGACGAAATGAAAATTTGCTCTTGAATATGATATATTCTCAAATTTGATTCATTTAAACTTAATTTTGGGTAGAAAATACTCACGAGTAAGTAATTATTTTTGCCGTAGTCAAATGTAAACTACTATAAGCGATTTACTGAAAATTAGCTTATTAAACGGAACATGGGAGATGAGTGAAAAGAACTTAATTTTGGGTAATTTTTCGGTTCCGTGTAGATGAGCCAGTTTTGGCGCTAGCAAGTGAGCATATTTAGGTTTTGCAGCACGCAGAAAAATTTACCGTCGAAACAAAAATATTTGAGGTAAATTTAAACGTAAACTCAGATTGTTCTGACCACAAACATAAACTAGGTTGATTTCAAACGTATTCTACATTTGAATCCATTGATAATAATGTTTAAAACAAAAATGTTACGTTTATTTTAAAAATATTCGTGTTGAAAATAAACGTGAATATTTTTGATTTATTTGAAAACTATATGCGATCCAAAATGAATATGTTTATTTTAAATATGCTTTTCATGTTTAAAATAAACAAACATATTTTGAAATTATTTTAGCATTTGAATGCTGAATAAATCAAAATAAAATGGATAGCAATAAATGGAAATTCCTGCGATTATGGAAAGTCTGTGGATGTTTGGAACCGGGGGGCCGTCGGGGTGGGTTTCCGATCTGATCCAGTTCAGTAAAACCGGTGAAACTTTGTGATATTAGCGTCATTTTATCGTTTCTGACGCTGGTCCTCATACCGGCCTCTTTCTAAGTTTAGTGTTCGGGGATGGTCTGTTTTTCTTTCGACGTCGGGTGGGGGGTGAGGATGATATGGGGATCGGTATCAGAAACGACGAATTGACGTTAATATTGTGATGTTCCACCGGTTTTGTCGAGCTTGGAACACTTGCTTGCGTGGGTTTCCGGACCCTCTACTTCGGTTTCGCCGCTTGCAGGCCGTTTTCGGTTAAGTTTGCCGAATGTAAACAAGAAGGAAAAAAGGACACGCTAAAAATTGATTACCCAGATTATGAATTGTTGAAATAAACATGCTTTTGAATTTAATTTAAACATACATATTTTTGTTGAAAACATGTTTTTAATTTACTTTGAACTATTCATATTTTTAATTAATAAACATATATATTTTTAACTTAAATGAACAAAATTTGGTTCCGTGTGGGAGGTAGACCCGATTAAATACGAACCATTGATTGACTAGTAATCCTATGTATAGAGATTCACGGAAGCGGTCATTTTGAGCCTCGATTGGCAGCGATAACTTTCAAAATGTGAGCCAAACGAGCATTTGGATTAGAAAATGTTCAGAGGATTTCTAGTTGAGTTGAAAAGTATTGTTATCGGGGTGAACTAAATTCAAACAAAACGTGTATAAAAGAAAAAAATATAACGGTAAAATACGTATGTTAGGAGAAGAGAGTTTTAAGCATAAGTAAAAATTATATAATAAATTGTGGATGGATAGTTTTTATAGATTTTTCAGTTCGGTTTATATTTCTGATTGCGTTTGTAACTGGACAGCCCCAAAAATGCAAAAAAAAAGTGTGATAAAAGTACACGATTCTGTTAAGGTTAAATTTACTTTGTTGCTTTTTAGAAAATTTCAAAAGCAGTTTTTTTCCGACGCATTATTTCAGATTGCAAAACGCTCGCACTATTCGATTCCTTGTGATATTTTACACAAAATGACGCGAGCTTTTTGTAATCTAAAATATTGCGTCGAAAAAAGCTGCTTTTGAATGTTTAAAAAATGTATCAAAGTAAATTGAACCTTAAATCGCACAAAGCTGGAACATTTTACTCCGCGGCAGGTGTTTGCAGCTTTTGTAAATAAAACAAATCATGTTGCCAAATCGTTTGATAATATTTCCGCAAATCTCTGTATATAGGATTACGAATTTATACCACCTCAGGATAATGTCATTTTTGTAATGATTTTCTTCATGCTTCAATACATTTTTATCTATCATTGGAGAAATTTTTAGAGTGGCGTCTCTTACCGGTTTTGAGTTAAGCCTACCCAACAAACAATTTTTGCTGCAGCTTAGCTTATACAGGCAAAAATTTGTTACATAAGGCAAATTTTGGCTGTATAAGCTAATCTGCAGCTAAAATTGTTTGTTGGGTAGTATACAGTTCAAAGCGAGGCTAGTGAAAAATCATGAAATTTCGCTAGTGAAAAAGGTTGTGAAAATATGGTTGTGGAACATATTCCAATTTACAAAGAGATAGAGAGAGAGAAGGATTAGTAATTTCTATTTAATTCCACTACCTTATTTGCTTATCCTTGACAGATACGCGTATTCCGTCTACAATGTGCCTACTTCTTCAGTGCCTTGTACTAATGCTCGACTGAAGAAAACATCGCATTTTACCGAATATATATTACCCCGCTACATTTTCACTTAGAAGCTAGGTAAACAGTGCAATCTGTATTATAGAGTGACGTTCTTTAGAAAGCTAAAACAACCAAGTTAAAAAAAAATACTGAGCCATCTTTGGAAAAAAAATCTTATTTATTGTACTATTCTGCGAACTACATTATGGCATTCAAAAAACATACTTTGCGTAGAATCATTACTGATTATTCACTTCACTTAAGACACTAAACCTTCTATCAAACGATCCTCGCAGGACCGTCTTTAATAGTCCAGAATTACGTCATTGCAATTGTTGTCATCGGCGCACTTGCAGCCCCTTCCAGACGGAGCTCGTGGATTTGATAGACAGATTCTCTTCTCCGAACAGTCGCCATTGTTGACGACACACGGACTGTAGAACAGTGGACACCTGTCGGTTACGGCCGTCATGCCGTACATTTTGTGACTTCCGAAAACGGGCGATGGAATGCCTTTTTCACGTTCTCCGTAAGCGTTGATGGATTCTACCTTTTTCCTGTGAAAAATAATAGGGTTAAACAAATTTTCAAAAGTTTTATTTCAAAACTATTACGTTGTCCAATCGGTCCAATAGAAGTGATCGTCTGTGACGGCCAATCCGAATGGATAGGTTAGGTTACTGGCAACGGTCCGAATGTGCTTGGTATAGGTGTCTATGCACTCGATCTTTTTGGTACCAGCGTCGGCGTAGCATAATTCACCCGTTCCCGGAGAGACCTGTATGCTGTTCGGCAACTCAACTTGAGGTCCATCAACCAGCACGTGACGTTCCGTACCGTCCAAATTTGCCCACTCGATTTTAGGACTCTCACGGTTCCAGTCCGACCAGTACAGTTTGCTCTGATGTGGATCAACTGCGATGCCTCTAGGATTTACAAGGTATTTCGAAACGATCACGGCTCGTAGATTGGGATTTTCCAGACTTGCAACCTCAATGGTATCCTTCGCCGAATCCGTCCAATACAGTCGCCGAGAAATCCAATCGACGGCTACACCCTCGGGTGAGAGGATATCTTTGGTGATAAATGGCTTACGATCGGTTCCATCATACTTGCAGCTGAAGATCTGCTTTGCCGAAATGTCGCTAAAGTAGATTCGACCTTCGGCACAATCTTTATCAACCCCGATGGCCATCTGAGCCATAGTCACCGGAACTCCGCGTGCACCATTAAATGGAACCTTAACGGTCGCAACACCCTGGCTAATTAACAAGAATCCAGAATCGAGCCGTGGAGCAGTATTGCAAACAGTTCCGTTACCGATGAAACCTGTGAATAGGTGGAAAGGTTATTTTGTGGTTGGAAGATGATACCTAGAGACAAACCTTGGTTGCAAGCACATTGGTATCCGGAAGTTGTGCTGACGCATTTTGCATTGGGATCGCAAAGGTCTGGTATATTGACGCAATTCCTCTCCGGACTGCAAAGGAAGCCATCTCCAAAGAACCCTGGATTACACGTGCACTCGTACTTGGATGGCTCCCTAAGAAGTAGTTCCAATTAGCGAAATTTTAAAATAAGCATCAATAGAAGATAATTACCTGAAGTTAGGTCCACAAGTTGCGTGTATACCACAGTTATTACGTACGTTACACGGTGGCGGTACAGACTTGCACTGACGAACGCCATCTCCAACGTGCCCTTCGGGGCAGTGACAATATGGGATGTTTTGGTGGGAATCGTATTTGCAGATGGCGTTTTCTGCACAGTAAGTGCCTCCACATGATCCAGCTCGTACACAGAAGTCCGATATGTCCCGTTCGTAGCCGGGTTGACAAACACAGAGTCCTTCGCTGCACACCGAATGCATTCCACAGTCATCATCTACGGCACATTCCGGAGCAAGATGGCAAGTGCGGCCATCGCCATCGTATCCCTTGTTGCATACACAGACTGACTTTTTCAAGTGGACAATGTAGTTGCACGACGCATGCTGATCGCACAAGTCCTCCTCATCGAGACATGAGACTTCCTTCTCTATGCAGGTGAACCCATCACCATCGTAGCCCGGATTGCACACGCACTCGTAGCGATACTGAAGTTCGTTCCATTCGCAATTTGCCAGGGGGCTGCAGTGATTTTCCACATCGCAAGACGGTAGGTGCTGTTCGTCCGGTTGTACTTCCACTAAGCGACAGATCTGATCAAACGCGTACTGAATTAGGATGTATCCGGTCGGACATGTGCATCCCTGAACGGTACAGAAGGGCGCAATTTCATCTGTAAATTTTCCAGAATTAAAATATTAACAATCATCGACAAGAGATGTCACTTAATTCTCCTTCAGAAAAACGGACAGTTGGGTAAGCTTTTAACCAGTGTATGAAACAAAACGCTTCCTGATGGATAAAAATTGTGACGGTCAACACCCCTTACACAGACATCAAGGTCCAGGTCCACATAGTTGCTTATTTGCAGTATGAGACAGATATGAACAATGAATTTATAGAAATATTAAATCAAGCCGTGTTCTTACATTCCTCAGTAGATCCCTGTTTGACACAGGCTTCGCCGTTCCATATTTGATCAGTGTCACATGGATTCTCACAAACGTATCCGTCACCAGCGTATCCTGCTTTACACTCGCAGTATCCTTTTATACAATCCGCAAACTCGGAACAATGCTGGAATGATAAATAATCATGTTGTAATTGTTCTCTCATGCACGTTTTCCATCCTCAATACCTCACAATAATCATCTCTGGGTTTCGGAGTATGCGCGTCCACTTCGTAATAGGTATTAGCCGGTGTCGGAACCATAACCGAACTGGTAGCACTTGGATCGATTCTTTCACACTGATACCCATTGCCCTCAAATTCTTCGAAGCATTCGCATTTGTAGCCACCCGGTTCGTTGATACAAGCTGCATTCTCATCGCAGATGTTGATTCCCGAACACTCATCAATGTCGACGCAGTTCACGCGGTCGTTGTTGTTGTATGGCACGTATGTGAATCCATTTTTACAGTTGCACTAAAATGGAAATACTCAAAGTTATCTGCTCTAAAACAAGAAAAAAAATCGGTATTATCGTACATCAAAGGTATCGTCGGCATTTGGAACGCAAACGGTGTTGTCACCGCAGTTTGCGTCATCGCAAGGATTCACTTTTTCACCGGAGCTGATCTTGCTTAACATTCCCATTCGTATGGCCTTCTCCCTGGGCTCATAACCAAGATTGACCTTACTGGTTTTTAAGGTAGACATTGTGTTGGGCGCGTTCTCTTCCAGTTCCAAGAACGGGCAAGGTTCAAACAAGATTATTTGATGGATTGTAAACTCTAGCTCACGATCGTCAGAAGACATGAGTGCTTTATGTGAAGTGTAAGCTTCAATGCGATCTCTTCCAACCCTCTGGTAGATTTCAGAATAATCATCAATGTGAAGTTTGTCTCCAAGAGGCACTTGACCAACTTGACCTTCAATGTTGATGTCTACAGCTAGTTGATCCCACAGGTTCAATCCATTGAATCGTAGGTCAATTCGAAGATTATCATTTGATCCCTGGTAGTTGATCGTTGTCGTTTGGTTGAACTTTCCTCCTGTGATCTGTGATGGAAACTAGATCGTTAGAATTCATTCCTAGAAAAACTACTTCAACTTACCTGATACCCATTTAGGACATTGCCAATAGGCTTAGCAAACAACCAACCAACACTTGCACCGATGGCCTGTGTCAACTGTAGTGTCGTACCAAGGTCGTCCTCCAGAGGACTCAACGCGGTATAGGTTCTTCCATCAGCCATCACAATATAAGATTGCATCTGTGTATCCACCGTCCAATGATTGAGAGTTCCCTTAACCGACCCAACCACACGGAGCGGGACATCGTTCTTTACGCAACTGTACCCGTTTCCATAATATCCAGCCTTACACGCACAGCAGTATCCAGTCTTTGTATCCGTGCACTTCGCAGCTGAGTGACACTTAAAATGACCTCCTTCGGCACAGCTTCGAGGCTCCTGCGATTCTTCGTCAAACACGCTAGGTTCCTCTATATTTTCTTCCTGATTAAACGGACCAACCTTGAACACCCACTCGCCAGCTTCACCAATATTCGATGACGCTGTGAGATGCCTTATCTAAAATCAAAAGAAAATTCCACAAATTGAGTAATCTTCCGAGCAATATTCAGACCCCATCATACATTGTCAGTTCCGGAGCCTTGCAATGGGAAGAACCGTCCATCCTCAGATATAAATCCAGCCTGCGCACGGACATCCGGCAATCCGGATTCCTTGGTGTCACCCTGAATCCAGTTGATACCATTCTCCGGATACAGGAACTGAACGTACGTCTCCTCATCGCCCAGTATCAGCGCCACTTGAAATGAATTGGTTACGTCGTTCTTCAGATCGAAATGTCCCACGTGTTCCCAGGTTGCCACAAACACCTGTCGAGCTTCGAAATCGACCGCTTCGGCGAAATTGATACGCACTAAATCGCTAACGCGATGTAGTAGTTCTTCGTCTGTCGATTTGAAATACACGATGGCGGCGGTATCGTTTGGAAGCGTGGTATCTACGTTGGCATAGAATGGAGCCACCGCCGGATACTCGATGGGAAACGGCAGATTGAGATAATTTTGAAACTCTGATCCGAACGTTAGAATGCCATTGGTGTTGATCTGTAATGTGTGCGATAACGTATCATCGACTGTGTGAGCTTTTCATACAACAGGATTCATTCATAAAACCAAATGCTGGGCGGGTTATCACTTTCTCTGCACATTCTGTCACTGTTCATCCGGTCATAGTGCGATTTATGTAATGATTAACTCGTTATTATTTTCGCACAGCTAACATTACAGACACAGTGTTTAATTCCGACTGCTACTCTGTTGCCCTGATTTGATAAGAGCCGAGAATCTGTGTGTACACGCTCATTGATTTGTTTGCACCAAAAGTGTTTGACCTTTTATGAAGGAAAGGCTGCTATATTTACTTCCAGGACCTGTTGTTACGTTAATAAAATAATTGGTAATATGTGTAATAGGACATAAAAAGCTACGATGTTTTTACTGATAGCTCAGCGAACCGGTATAATGATAGGAAGTAATATTATTGTTGTGTCACTCGAAAGATGGACAAGGTGAAATTTTGACTGATCTATGTTTGTTTTTGTCTACACGAAATATTTGAATATTCTAGATTCCGGCAGTATGAATTTTTATAGAGTTGATTTTTTTTTTTCAAGAACTGTAAAATCACAGACAAACAGACATAACGCATTGAATATTTTTCTCTGTGAAACATCGTCACTAAAACACTACCGCCAACTGTAGAGTACACGTCAAGCGCCAAGGGAATTGACTATGCGCGCCACTGGCGGCGGCACTGCCAACCAGGGCCCCAAAAAATCACTTTCAATCGAAAATCTTCAAGTGAAGATGAAGCTCTCAACCATCACTTTCAATTGAAAGTCATTCTGTCTTCTCTTCGAGCAGGTCCCCGTCAACATCAACAAAACCACTTTCGATCGGTTTTCATGCTGTTTGTTTTGGCTTGACTCGTGTTCATTTCTTCTTTTATTATCAAATGAACTTACTTTTGCATTGAAGCGAAGCTGTTCGATCCAAATTCGCGCAGTTTTTATGACTTTTGTTGATTGTTCACTCGGTTCATTTAAGCGTAGATCTGTAGATCGTAGTAAAATTTATCATTGTTGGGTGGTTTGTTTACCCATCAATATGGGTAATTATTGAATCGGGGTGAATTGATATGCGATGCCATTTTTAAATCCAATATGGCGGCTTCCAGTTTAAGGAAAAGTGGGAAATACTGTCACATACTTATCAATAAAGGTATTTTTGGAATCGGGATGATGTCTAGTGGATGAAAATCGATATCCGACACCATTTTGAAATCGAAGCTTAGGATTTACGAAAAAGTGGAAATACAGTCAAATACAATATTGGTACAGATCGAAAATTGATATGCGACGCCAATTCGAAATCCAAGATGGTGGCTTCCGATTTCAGAACAAGTGGGAAATATTGTCAAATACCCATCAATTTATAGGTATTTTTGGAATCGCGATGACGTCCAGAGTCCGGAAATCGATATCCGACGCCATTTTTAAATCCAATATGACGGCTTCCTGTTTCAGAAAAATGGGAAATGCTGATGCCATCCCATCAATATGGGTATTTTTAGAATCGGGGTGACGTCTGGAGATTGGAAATCAATATCCGACACCATTTTGTAATCCATCAAATACCCATACAAACGTTTTTTTTTTAGAATCCGGGTTACGTCTAGAAGCCGGAAATCGATATCCGACACAATTTTGTAATCCAAACGGCGGCTTCCGATTTGCGGAAAAGTGTCAAAATCCAAAAATATGGGTATTTTCAAGATGGGGATGAGACGTAGATGCCGAAAATTGATGTTACGCCGTCTTTAAACCTAAGATGGCGGCTTTGGTTCAGAAAAACTGTGAAATACTGTCAAATACCGATCAATGTGGGTTTTTTTTTTAATCGAGCTGACATCTAGAAGCCAGATATCGATGTGCGACACCATCTTGGAATTCAAGATGGTAGCTTCCTATTTAAGAAGAAGTGTCAAATAGCCTACAAATGGCATCGAATATCGATTTTCAGCATCTACACGTGGTCCCCGTTCCAAAAATAACCAGATATTAGGGTATTTGACACTTTTTGGCCGCCATATTGGGTTCCAAAATGGCATCGAATATCGATTTTCGGCATCTACACGTTGTCCTCATTCCGAAAATACCCATATTGTAGGGTATTTGGCACTTTCTGAACCCTGATGGCCGCCATATTGGATTCCAAAGTGGTATCTGATATCGATTTTCGGCATCTACGCGTTGTCCCTCACAGTTTGAAAAAGTAGTGTAAATTTCTGTTCAATATGATACACATAAAAGGAACGTCACATATCATATAAGCTTACATTATAAACCGTGTAAAGTTCTGAGATTTTTCATGAAATGTTGCCCAACATTGCTTAAAAAATTGCTCGTTTGCGTGAAATGAAACACAAGTTTACGTGAATGGATATTTACATCACAATAAGAAGTAAGAATTTTTTGCTGTGCTGTTCTGAAAAAAAAACATATTGTAGGGTATTTTACACCTTTTCTGAAACCCTATTTTCGGCAGCCACGCGTTGTCTCCGTTCCAAAAATACCCATATCTTAGGGTATTTGACACGTTTTAGGAAACTTGATGGCCGCCATTTTGGATTCCAAAATAACGTCGAATATCGATTTTTCACACTTTCATGTCGTCCTCGTTCCGAAAATATTTGAGACCGCCATCTTGGAGTCCAGAATGGCCTCGTTAATTTAATTTCCGTTTAATATAAAATAACATATTATTACTACATATAATCTGGATGCCTTCCCTATCGGCAACCTGTATTGTGCGGATACTATCCGGATACTATATTTTGATGCCTGCGTCATCAGGTCGTGGCAAGTCGAATGAGCCCCGAATTGAAGTGAAAGTAGAAAAAAAAAAACGAAGGAAGCAGTTTTCGAGTCATTCATTGCGTCAATTGAAATAAGTCCTTGCTTCAAATGAAATGAACTGAAGCACTCGATGAACGAAACAAGTGATAGTCCAGTCATGTTTGAAAAGAGGAATGTTCAACGTGACTCGATAACAAGAAACTAGATGACTTACACGAAAATGATATTTCTTGAAATGAAGCGATTTTGTGGATTTTGTTTCGAAAATACAAAACCATGCTGCCAACTAAGAAAAAAATAAACCGTTAACTGAGTGTGCGATGTAAAACATGCAAGAGTTATGTCTGTTTGTCTGTGGTAAAATCGTTGATCATTGAAGTAAAGAAACCATCTTTAGAAAAAAAACAGTATTTCTGAGTTATCGAATCACGATAATTATGATACTTGGGATAAAAATATAATTCAAAGGTTATTCCGTAGAGATCTCCTCACTTTTGCAAAGTATTCTTGACGATTTCCATGGGACTAGAAAGCAATTTCGAGAAAAAAAAATCAAAGGCTATTGGAGGAAAGCTTTCGCGACTGCAGCGACTGAGAATAATTGACTCAGAGAATTTTCTTTCCATACGAAATTTACTCAGATTTGGAAGAAACTGCAGTTACTCATAAGCTATGAGTAACTGCAGTTTCTTCTAAATCTGAGTTAATTCCGTATTGAAAGAAAATTCTCTACGAATGAATTTATGGATACTAACCACTACGCCGGGGCGACCCCGGCGTAGTGGTTAGCATCCATACCTCTCACGCCTAAGTCACGAGTTCTAATCTCACCCCCGGACAAGCCACGAATGACCCAAAAGCGTTAAAGTGACTATAATTAAAAAAAAAAAATCTCAGTCGCTGAGTTGGTATGATTGGCCGTCTAGTCAATACATACTTAGAAATTATTATCGACTTCGGTAATTTTTACTGAACTTTCAGCAGCTGAACTGTTCGGTAAAAATCAAGCTTTTTAATTCAAAGAAAACTTCACCACAATGGCAAGACTCTTTTATTTAAACAAGGCTGACAGTGTTTTGAAATTAAAATTCAGTGAATCAGCTTTTGAAATGAAGGTCAAGGTTTTACCGAACGTTGAAATCTCGGTAAAAAATTACCGAAGTCAGTAATAATTTCAGAGTGTGTAGTAGAATTACAAGGTCATTCTTATGAAAATTCCAAGGAGATTGTAAGGAAATGCCAAGGAGAATTTCAAAGAACCTATTAGAAAAACTCCAAGATAATTCAGAGGATAATTGTAGAGTAAATTCTAAGAATTTCCTAGAGCGGATTCCTTAAGAAGTGTGTAGAGAATTTCTAAGGTTTTTATGGACGAAAATTTCAAGGGAATACCAGAAGAAATTTTGATTCTGGGGAATCCTGAAAGCTACTCTGAAGACATTTTGGGGTGATTCTATGGAAATTTTTGAGAAAATCTGATGAAGAATTACGTTTTATATAAATAATGAACAGTTGTAAACATTTCATCCTTAGGTACACACAAATGGAAAGCCTAACTAGCACGGCACGAGTTGGAGCCCATTTATGTAAGGCTGATTGGTAAGCTACCTCAGGACAGAACGAGTTAAGAGGTGCTGAAATGCCTGGCTTAAGGAAAATGAAGTCGATAAGTGTTGTATATCCAAAAAATACACAGGTTGAATAAGAGATTTGAGATTTTGAGATTGCAATCAAATTCCCCGTTATTTCACGGTTTTCCCAATTTGTTTCCTCCGGTTGATTGGCCACCCTATATTAAAAAAAACTGATCAGAGTTCAGCCACTTTGAATAACTTGCTCTGCCTATAAAGAAACTTAATACAGTGATTTGTCATCTATCGCCGAAAAAAAAAAGTGCAACCAATTCGTCCAGAAATAGCTAGAGATAAAAAAAATGCAAACTTCTCCACAAGGAGCTCACTGCCATTGGCCGCATGACTGAGAAGCTATCAGCCACCCACGCGTCTCCATATTCTCACTGTTCAGGACTTCGATAAGGCCAGCTGTTATTTTGCACATGTCCACACGCACAGACGGATCGAAGCAAGAGTACAATTCGAGCCCAGAGCAAAAGTTATGCGAGATTGGAACCCATCCCGTTCCTTACTGATTAGGGTTCTAAATATTTCAATGTTACTATCTGAACTCTGTGACTCTGTGTAGAAATTGATAACCACGCACAGTTGTACATCTTCCACTTCTTCAATACTTCTAGGAATCAAACTCCTCGCTTCAAGTTTCACTCACATAGACAACTTCATATTTTTCGCTGTAGAAATGGGCCGGAACGTCCAGTTGTACTTCCGCGTACTCCTCGTCGCCACGTGGTAGGACATCGCTCGGTTCATTGAAGTAGCTGTACAGGTCTCTCGAACTAATCCCTTCGGTTATTCCAGAGTACACCGTAATGGCAAACAGTGCCACCAGTATGGGTTTCATTGTTGTAAAAATTGATTCACTTTCTGTTTGCCAGCACTTGATAGTCGATCACTGAAACTATAACGGCCTTTCATCCGTTTCTTCCGTCCGACTTCGCTTAGCGTGCGGATTAAGTAACGTCGTTATCACCTGCTCGTCTGGATTGGTCACTTTGTTACACTTTAGTTGCTCACGCTATCAATGAAACATTCCAAATATACACTATCATCAATCAGGAGCCATTCACACTTTCAGGCCTTAACTGCAGTTGTCTTCCACAATCATTCTGATCACTGAATCCAGGGAGGGGTTTCCTATGATGGAACTTCTTTGGCGTTACAATATTTGCGACCGCTCTACTCGAGATCCCGAACACGACTGACGGCGAAAATGCTGCTGAAAGATTTCCTTCGACCCATTCTCATCTCAATGGAACACGACGAATAATTATTGAGAGATGCTGGCTCCCTTCTGCCGTCATCCATATGCCGTATGAGCAAAAGGAAGCCACCGAGACGGGATGGTTCATTAGTTTATCGAAGCGTGCAGTGTTCATGATGATTTTGTTTTAAAATTTCGGTGCGTGTGCTTTAGAAATTCGTTGGGGAAAACGTGGTGCGGTTTCGGGTTTGAAGACTCGACATTTTAATTGAAGGGAATTGGTTGTTGTTTCGATAGTGACAGCTTTGCGCGTGTCAGCGTGTCAATTGAAGTATGATTTGTTTGATGAGCTATGGCGACATTTAACTGTTTGAACGATTTCAGAATCTTCTGTTCATCAGTGAGCGATTGAAAAAGAATTGAATTACTTTGGCCTTGTATGATTTTGAAAGTGGTAGACAAACACCGAAAAGTATGTTTAACAGTTCTGTCCCTGGGGTTACAGGCAAGACACTTTGTCCCATTTTGCTTACGACATTTGACATTACAAAATGACGCTGGTAACACTATACAAGTTTCTGATTACCGGTCTTCTTCTTTCTACTACGAAGTTGCAAGTTGTGAGCTCTCAACTCTCAACTTAAACTGGAATGCCTTCCTCAAACGTAGTATTTTTTGACACTAAGAAAATATCACTCACACTGAGAAAATATCAAAAATGTGTTGTTTTGTAGTTTAAAAAGCAATGTTTTTTCAAAAAGTGATGATTAGGAAATGTGTAGTGGGAAGAAATATTAATAGCTATGCATTTCTAGTCGGAAGGGTTTGTTTGGCCCGAAATTTCGATGTCACTACCACTGCAAAAGTGCCATCTGTTGCAATATAACACGTTTTATCATGTCTTATTCAATGATTTGAAAGCATCGTTCCTTAATCTTTCTACCATTAATTAATTTCAGTAAAATAATCATTTCACTTAGTTAAACAAAAAAAAACACGATTTTTTCCAAAACTGCATTTAAAAAGCAAACACAACGAAACCACTATAAACTCCGCAAACCGACAATGTTTATTTGAAGAAATTCGGTTCGTTTCATAACAGAATCCTCAGAGCATAGATCCATAAAATCTTCCCACCGAAACATATGCTCAGCAAAAATGACACACGCACATGTTTTTAATTACATCCATTCGGTAAACCGAAAATACTGCATTTCCCTTACTGCTCCCGAGAACGGAGTTCAAGCATATCAGATCAGCTGCGTCAGCTTATTTAATGATGTTTACCAACACCGCCAAGCGACACACTCAATATTCTTCATTCACGGAAGAGTTGGGAAATGCAAATGTTTTTGACCTTTCTCTTTCATCTTGAAGTGTTTTCCTGGGAAAACTCCAGCCGCTACTAGTCTACTCGGTGCAGATGAAAGGATGGAAAGCATCCAACAAGGAAAGGGGGAGGATAGCTTTGATTTCGATGATTGCGCGCGATCGTGCCGATCGTCGTTAATATATACCACACACATCGTGCGTGCGTGCTTTACACTAGAAAAAAAAAGTTATGTGAATAAACCTGTCATTTTAAAGCGCTTGCATGAAACAGTGACACTTAGCAGTCATTTGAATTCCCACTTGATGTTGTGTGGTGACATCTTACAGTAGATCATATTTTACTGCTTCTGTTTATATGAGGTTCGCCGTTTGGCGGCTCGATCCCTCGCTTCGTTATGATATGTTGCGGGCAAACGAAAACGAAACCACGAGATACAAATTTATCAATGGGAGTCAAAAGATTAATTGGAATCTACACACATTTATGTTCATTAAGTACGATGGTTGCTGCTTTGCTGTCGGTTGATATTTATAGATGCCTATATGGGACGATATTTCCTGAAAATGATCTTAGCAACAGCTGGATATTATAGCGAAACCACCGAACTGTCAATTCCGATGGTTTGTTCTAAGAGGAAGAGGAGACAACTGGATTCTTTTGACGTAGGACTACGTCTGTGATTTCCATATGGGGTACACTTTGTAAAAACCGAAAATGGAACATGAAACAAAATTATGAAAGATTTTGAACGTTAATAACTCAGTTGCCCCTGGACCAATTTCAATCATTTTATCACCAATCGATCAGAAATATTCCTACTTATCTGGTTAATTTAAGACTATCATTTTTCAAAATGTCACTATTGAAAATTGCACGAATGTGCAACTGTTGCTGCGATAGCACAGATTTCAAAGTTCAATTCCATCTAGTCTCACCAAACAGTGTTTATTCAATCACCGCGTGGTGAGTGGTGGTGTTCTCCAGTACACAACGCAAGCAGCTAGCTATCATGGGTGCACACAACCACTGATCGGATTCACCAATCACCAATCACCGTGTGTGGTTGTGTCCGGTCGTCGGCATCAGCAGCAGCAGCAGCAGGAGGAAGAAGCTGCACCGCTATTGATCTCGGAATCAGTAGCTCTTTGTGAGTCGCTGTGGGTCATCTATGCCAAGCACGTCATACTAAAGAGTATAAACAGAGAGATCCCCGCTCAAATTCCTATTCCTACACAAAGCACAAGCTCCTGCTGTAGTTAACAAATAACATTTATAATATAAGATCACGTAGTCCTACGTCACCATTGCGTACAACCCCATAGGGCTGTCCCTTGTAGTTTTTGTCTGTGAAGCGTTCTTCTGCTCTTGCGGAAACAGTCGTGTAAAAACTATTTTATTATGGACGACGCATTCGAGTGTCAAAATACAAGAAAATAGATTCCCTGTTGTAAAAATGCTCGCAATTCTATACGTTCGCCCGACCAATCAGGTGCTGGTTCGCGTTTGACCACGCCACTGACAAGGCCTATACCAACAGCAGCGTTTGACAGTAGGTAGCATGTCCCGGGCTCAAATCGTTTATTTTGCTGTGCTGGGCCCGCTGTCACGGTATAACATGTTGCCTACGCGCCTGCCACTGGGCTGCGTTTGACAGAAAATTGGTTCATTAAAGTCGCGCTATTGAGAAATCCAACTTAAACTCCTGCGCGCCTGGTGGCAGGAATAAGCACTAACCGACGGTGATAACCCAACAAACAATTGAGAGCTCTTATAAAACACCTGAGTTGATCAAACGTTGAATAATAGCTTCCAGAGTTGAACAAGAATGTAGTTGTATTGCCATTTGATTAAAAGTTTTAAAAGCTGTTGGAGCACTCTTAAATGATTGTTTACGTTCGGTTTAACTATATGCTTTATAAGACCTACGATAACTTTTATAGCACCTTTGTTAAACTGATTGACAAGAGCTATATAGAACGTGAAATAAACGCATCAAAACAAACCATTGGGAGCTCTTATACAACACCTGAGTTGATCAAACGTTGAATAATAGCTTCCAGAGTTGTACAAGAATGTAGTTGTATTACCATTTGGTTAAAAGCTTCAAAAACTGCTTGGAGCACTCTTAAATGATTGTTTACGTTCGGTTAAACTGTTTGACAGGAGCCATATAGGATGTGGAATAAACGCATCAAAACAAACCTTAAACTGTTTGACAGAAGCCATATAGGATGTGGAATAAACGCATCAAAACAAACCATTGGGATTTCTTATACAACACCTGAGTTGATCAAACGTTGAATAATAGCTTCCAGAGTTGTACAAGAATGTAGTTGTATTGCCATTTGGTTAAAAGCTTCAAAAACTGCTTGGAGCACTCTTCAATGATTGTTTACGTTCGACCAACCACAATTTTGTTGCTAAAAATAGCACAAGTGATAGGCATGTTTATATAACCATAAGGCAATGATTATTCGACTGCAAGAGAAGTTACTCAAGATGAGCTTGATATACTTCTCTCATATGATCAAAACATGTATTCAAGAATAGAGCAGATGGAAACAGAAGTGGCTGGCAATCCGGGATCATGAGTTCGAATCTTGCTTCGAGAAACCTTTGGTGGAGTAGAGGTAAATTATATATAGGTGTTATTAATAAATGCAAACATTAATTTAAGACATATATCATATAGGGTAAATGTTGGCTTCGGCACCCATTGACTGTTTTCGGCAACCAAAATTTAAACGTTAATTTCACTATGTTTTCCCATCAACGCACTTCCCTGAATGTGTCCAAACGATTGTTTAGCCTTTCAGCTTCAATCTGATTATATTTGAACGATCGAGCAATCCAGTAATGCTACATTTTTCTTCAAATAAAGCATACGCACTACAAAATGGGGTTGATTTCGAGTTGCCGATAATAGAACAGCTGGTTAACACGCAGTTCTAATGGGAAGGTTGCCGAAGAAAAAGAGGCTGCCGACAATAGTCACACTCACCTGAGAAGTTTGGAGCGTTGTAAAAACGCTTTCAAAACGTTTTGAAAAATTCTGTCGATTGGAATGGATAGAGAAGCAACTAGCAGATGAATGTAAACAAACAGACACATCATATATGTGCGTGACGCTGAGAAAATGCTAGTAGAAGTCCAGACGCTGCTTAGATTGACGAGAATACGTAAATTCCCCTAATCAACGATAACATTTCTAGATAAATTCTCTCAATTAATGATTAGAGAGATTAATTGAAAGAATATCAATCAAAGATTAAACAGATGCTTGTTACTACTTCCTCCATGATCACAGAATGTGAATTATGGCATAATTACATATTTTTTCAATGTGCACAAATAAATTAAATTAATAAAAACTGTACAAGCAATTATTTTGGCGTACCACGACAATTGTTAAACTAATTTTAATCTGTGAATATTGTGAGTACTTACACAACGGTTATTAAGGAGTCATTAAAAAGTGCTATAAACGCTTTTCACCGCTTGCTGTATAGTAATTATTTAGGAGTCATAAAAGAGTGTAACAAACGCCTCTCAGGTTCAATCTCTAATACATTTCGAAGCAGCTGTTAGGAGGTGTCTACAAACGTTGTATTAGAGCTTTCACCAAAACAATAAAGCTTGAGTTTAAATATGTATCTATAAACGTTGTATAAAAGTTGCT